TTACTGTACGGCACCACCTGATTGGACAAGAGCAAAAAAGGGGCGTTACTGTGTTACTGTACGGCACCACTTTTTCTGGAGAACCCTACTTGGGTCACATTTCTCCTGGTTAACCTTAGTGTTGGGGTCAGGGTCAGGCTGTAAAGAGATCAAGCAGGATCTAAGGATACCGTCATGTAGGCCTTGTAGCCCACAGTGTTTATGCTTTTGACACGCCCACTCTTGTGACACGCCCACTTTGATTCCGCAGATAACCCCTTCCTCTTTAAGCCGAACTTCCTCATGGCGGAGCGGCCCTCCCACCACCCGCCCGCTCCGTGACTCCGGCAGGCTACGTGCTGAAATGGGCGTGACCAAAGTGTTTGGTTTTTCTTAAAGAGACAGAGACCTATTTCAAGACGTTTAGAAACTGTCAAGATGAGAAGTAAATTGTTTTGTGGATTTTTATAAGCTGTTTCAGCTCTTTCATAAGCTGAAAATGTGACAGTTACTTTATTTTAGTATAAAACTGAAATGAGCTTGGGAAGAACATAATATTGCCCCTTTAATGATACGTTAAGGCGTCATGAGTGTCAAAAATGCACCCAACGCCTCAAGTTGGACGCTTGTGCACTTTGAGTTCAGACACTCGTCAAAACTGCTTGACGTGCGTTGGGAAGAACCTCTTGTTGTTTTCCCCTCCTCTCTTGGTGAGTTTCACCACTCCAGGAGCTGCGAGCTGACGAGGCTCGCTTTCAGAACTATTTTTGTCCCGAGCCCAGTTTGACCGCACGGTCAGTGCGATGAGCCGCAGACTCGTATCGATGCCGATATCTCCTGCGAGGACACTGACTACAGCCACTCATTTTCAGTTGGAGAGCTCCTGTCCGTCTGTCCTAGGTTAGTGGGCATCATTCAGGAAACCATGTGCCACTACGTCACATAGTGGAGTCTCTTCTATTGGTTGGCGCGCCACGTCGAGCAGCAAACTTTCAGATTTTTCAACGTCAGCGTTGGTTGCTTTGGACGCGCCGCACACACGTCAAACGCACAAACCGCACCTACCGTTTCTCGACGCCCCTTGATGCCCATCCACCATAGACTTTGCATGTAAACCTCCTGACACTCAAAACACGTTCGRTCTCAACCTAGCATTATAATCTCTAAAACTGGCCAAGTTACAGCCATTTTTTCTTTTTTTGTTCCTAATGTGAGTTGGCTGAGTCGGCCATCTTGAACTGAGTTGACCCCTAAAGTGAATCAGATGAACAGCTTATGATAACTTCCTGGCAGTTTTATTAAAATTCATACGGGAGTCCATGACATAAGGGACACAAACAAAAACATTATTTTATTGTTGTGGTCAGCAGAAAAGGAACACTCTTCCCGTCCTTTAACAGACATTTTGAGTGTACTGCATTCATTTTAGGAATATTCTAACTTCAATGTGTCATTTTTTTAACTAAATACTTCCCTTCATGGTCGTAAATTGCTCCCACGACCTACAATGCCATCTAGTCAAAGGTTTTATTTATCTGAAGCCTTGGAAGTGAAATCCTGTTGAAACTAATTAGTGGCTGCAGCAGCCAACACATTTCACCCGCAGTGGCGTGAGAGTAGATAGTGGCTCCACAAACAATCTGTCATCCCAAGGTCAACATTCTTGAGGTCCAATGGTTAGTTTTGARTGTTGAGTGTTTTGAGTCACTGCTTGAGCTGACAACCAAGTGTGAGCGAGTAAAGGTGCTCCTTTTTTTATTATTATATTTCACTTTCCCTTCCTTCTGGCTACACAAAGCATATATATGTATAACTCTCCCCTGTGTGCACACAGAGTTCGTAGGAGTGTRTAAACTTTCAAAAGAGGTGTGAGGACGATAAGGGGAGAGTAAGAGGGGAGTCATTGTGTTGGGATGAAGTCATGTTTAAAAATGCTGTCATGACCCGAGCTTGGCTCATTTGATTTTCACATTGAAGACTTTCGGTTTATCTCAACCAGGGTGGGGGAAAATAGAAAAAAAAATTGCTGATGGAAACATTTTACCACAATCCACAGCCAGTGTTTACACAGTTACAGTAGGTCACACAATCGCAGAGAACTGAGAGAGTAGGGTAGAGCGAGGCATGGCTAAAACAGATATATTTAGTCTCATTCTAACTCCAAACAGCTCATCAACACATAAACTGTGCTCAAAACGAGTGTATCATCCAGAAGTTAATTTAATTTTTTTAAATTTGTGTCTTCCAAAGCAACCAGTCTCAAAGACACACCGGGTGACACGCCCAGCATTTTCAAGAGGCTTTGCTTTATCTTGTTGTTCAACGATCCACCTCCCAACAAACCTCACTGCAAGATTAAACATGTTTCCAAGTTACACTTCTCAGGCCAAAACAAATTGGTGGAATAAGATGTTGAGTTTTGCTGGAAATTGTTGTGAAATTCATTTCAAGCAAAGGCTATTGGGTTTTAGTTCGTTGGCACTTAGAAAAAGTAAAGAAAAAAAGATATTGGCTTCTCACCAAATAGCTTTCCTTTCGTAGGCATTATTCGTACAGATGGGCGTAGCCTGAAGAGAAAGTAAAAGCTCACTTAGAGTTAAAGTTTAACCTTGTGTTTGCTTTTCATGTGGGTCCTGCTACGTTTGCTGGTCACAGAACAGATTATCATTTTTTTTGCAAACATGATTTTAAACAACAAAAAAATAAGAATTAAGTTTCTTGATGAGTATTTGATTAATCAGCAGTGTTAAAAAATGCCAACCTCAGGTTTACAATGACAGATCACACTGTGAATCAACTGACATTTACACACGTATTAAATCACTTCGAGACACTGATTCTGACATCATCCACTGAGTAAACTGAGAACAACCTGACATCTGGTTTTGTAGACTGCAGGCACATCACATTGTCTTGTTTATTAATGCCGTGTTCTAACAGCTGGTTCCTTTTCCATTACAAGGTAAGAAAGGTGACGTTTCCTCAACGCCCCTAAAACAAGAAAACAAGAATTATTTTATTTCCTTATTTTCACTCTTAGATAACAAAACAAGCCCCCTCTAATAGCATTTACTGTAATAGTACCGGATGATCTCTCCTCTTCAGGTCATCGAACTCCCTTTTCTGGAAATACCAAAGGATTTATTCTCAGCCAGTGAGCAGGCAAAACAGGAGGTGTTTTTGAAAACCCGGGAACAGAAGCATTCACTAATATCCAGCAGAGAGTTGAAGAAAAGCACTGCTGTTGGGAGCAGAAAATGAGAACAAGTGGGTCTTTGTATCTTTATGACCTTAAAGGTCAAAGATAAAACATGGCTTTTTTTTCTGAGAGGACAAGTCCTTTAAAAACTTTGATCTACTTCTTTTAATCTTATCTAAAAGAAGAAACTGAAGACTCTATGCATGTGTACAGTTTCTTTAGGTA